AATAATAATAATAATAATAATAATAATAATAATAATAATTTACTACATTATATTATTTTTATTATTTACTACATTATATAATATTATTATTTACTACATTATATTATAATATGTGTTATAGCACATATTATAACACTAGTTAACACCCCAGTCTCATGAGGGCTGTCTTGCCCATTTTATCACAACTCCTTTCTGGTTCCCAGATAGCATGATATTACATTCTAACAACTCCTTCCATAATTCATATATTTATCTACTCATCATGTGTTTAGGCAATATTTTTCTTTCCAACTTTGTCCTTCAATGACCATGTTAAAATTGAACTTGCCACCTCAACACCAAACCCACAAATTTTGCATTTCTATTGCTAGCCACACAAATATCTGCTCATTCATGGGTATAAACATCCGCCCATAGGCATTTCATTCCATGCATCTGATGAAGTAGACTACCTGGCAGAACAAGAGAGCCAAGTTGGGGCTGCAGCAGCCACATGCCATGAATCCAACCCAGCTTTTTGCTAGCCCAAAAAGAAGTGGCAAATTGCTGCTTTTTTTTTTTTTTTTGAGCTGGTAAAAAGCCAGCTTTTCCTGGGTTGCCATGGCTCCTACCATGCTGCAATAGTGCTATGAAGCCATGTGTGGCTTCGGGGCTTCATTGAGGCATGTGACATCTAAATGCCATGCCTCCAAGCCACCAGGTCTGTTCAGCTCTAAGTCTATGGAAACTTATGCTACAATGTCCTTTTGCTCAGTGGGTTAGAATGGACAGCCAAGAAGTCCAACAAATGGGTTGTAGAGCAGATCAAACCAGAAATCTCTCTGTAAGCCAAGATGACTAGACTGAGGCTGTCATACTTTGGCTACATCATGGGAAGGCATGACTCACTGGAAAAAAACCCAATAATGCTACAAAAAGTGGATGGAAGCAGAAAGAAAGGAAGTCTGCATACTAGATGGATGTACTCTATTAAGGAAGTCATAAGTATGAATTTGCAGGACCTGAGCAGAGCAGTGGAGGATAGGGAGTCTGGGAAATGTATCATCTAGAGGGTCGTCATGGGTGAAGATCGACTCAAGGGTTGTTAACAACAAAAAGCTAGAAGAGGATTCTAAGCACATCTTCAAAGCACAAATCTGAGGATATTGTAGGATGGAGCTATGGCAGTCAAATTGGTATGAAACTGCTATAACTGCATAGTGTAGATACTGTTAGTAACCAGGTCAAGCTTGAACAAGGTCTAATTGGCATTGCTACCTCCGCATGATGATTTGCCAATGTTTGGCAATTCTTTGTTCTTGTAATATAATTCAATATGAATCACAGTTTCATCCATCTTACCAAGAGTTAGACATGATGGTTGAGGGAATAAATTTAACCTTCTGGATTTCAAATTGTGAAGGACATTACTGGTTGAGGTGACATAGATCAACATCTCAGCAGTGATTTAAAAACAAAATAAAACACACATAAAAAAATTGTCTCATGTATTTTTATAGTAATGAAGAACAGGCATTATCCCACAAAATACAGACATATTATCTTCACCCATTATAGTTTGCGTTCAGAACCATTTTTGTATTCCCATCTGTCTTGGTTGCACTGATTGATGACCTCTTACTGGAATGGAATAAAGGAATACAAAACTGTTCCTCTGGCTCTGTCTCTCAGTTGCTTTTGATATTGTTGACCAAGGTACCATCTTGAAAAGAACCAAACAAGAGGAGAAGAAGGGGTAGAACAGTGGTGGACACAGGTTACACCAGATTCAATTTCCCCCAGCACAAAGACAGAGTAATTACAATAGCACAAAGTTAGACCAGGATGATGGCAGTCTTTAAAAAATTCTAATTGAGAGAGTGTTTTGGATTCAACACAGCTTGAGCTAGCCTAGTGAAGCCACAGCTGGCCCTTGGTTATTTAGATTAATTAGAACTGGACTCATGAGACGAAGGTAGCCCTTATA